GCTTTCGCTACTCGACTCTCACACCTGCTCTCAGAAAGCACTCTTCAACAAACCGATATATGCGACCAGTGGAACCACATTTCCCGCTCATTAAGTACCGAAGAAGTAGTCGAGCCCGAAAGAACAACTGGTACGATGAGAAGTGTCAGGAAGCTGCAGAGAAAAAAGATGCTGCCTACAGGGCCGCTATGGGGATATGAAGAGGAAAGAGAGCCGAATTTGCCGCAATAAGAAGAGAGAGACCGAAATACGTGAGTGCGAAGAGCTTTAAATGCTGGCCGACAGGAGGAATGCCCGAAAATTTTACCAGAGAGTTAGGCGACTTACGGAAGGTTTCAATACCAGGGGGTACTCCTGCAAGAACAACAATGGCGACCTAGTAACCGATGTGCCGAGCGTACTTAAGTTATGGAGGAAAGTTGTGGAGAAGAAGAACCCGAGCCCTCAGTCGGTGATGACGGCGTTGACGTTCCACCACCTGACTATGACGAGGTACGTATAGCAATAACCCGTCTGAAAAACAATAAAGCTGCTGGAGCTGACAGCCTGCCAGCTGAGCTATTCAAGTACGGCGGCGAGGAGTTGATAAGGTGCATGCATCAACTCTTGTGCAGAATATGGTCAGATGAACGCATGCCCGACGACTGGAATTTAAGTGTGCTCTGCCCAATCCACAAGAAAGGTGACCCCGCCATTCGCGCCAACTACCGCGGGATCAGCCTTCTATGCATAGGTTACAAGGTCTTATCGAGCGTATTGTGTGAAAGACTGAAGCCCACCGTCAATGAACTGATTGGGCCTTATCAGTGTGGCTTTAGACCTGGGAAATCCACCATAGACCAGGTATTTACAATACGCCAAATCATGGAAAAGACCCGCGAGAAAAGGATCCACACTCACCACCTATTTGTTGACTTTAGAGCCGCTTTTGACAGCACTAACAGTAGTTGCCTATACGCCGCTATGTCTGATTTTGGCATCCCCTCAAAACTCATACTGCTGTGTAAAATGACGTTGAGCAATACCACCAGCTCCGTCAGAATTGGGAAAGACCTCTCCGAGCCGTTCGTCACCAAACAGGGTTTCAGACTGGGCGACTCCCTTTCATGTGACTTCTTTAATCTGATGTTGGAGAAGATAATAAGAGCTGCAGAACTCAACCGCTCAGGAACAATTTACTGCAAGAGCGTGCAATTGCTGGCTTATGCCGATGACTTCGATATCACCGGTATTAAAAACCGCGAAGTCTGTTCTGCATTTTCCAATTTGGATAAGGAAGCAAAGCGAATGGTTCTGGTGGTAAACGAAGACAGGACGAAGTATCTCCTGTCATCAAACAAACAGTCAGCACATTCGCGCCTTGGCACCCACGTCACTGTTGACAGTTACAATTTCGAGAAAGTAGAGAATTTCGTTTACTTTGGATCCAGCATTAACACCGATAATAATGTCAGCATTGAAATCCAACGCGGAATCACTCTTGCCAACAAGTGCTACTCTGGACTGAGTAGGCAATTCAGGAGTAAAGTTCTCTCTCCACGTACGAAAACCACGCTCTATAAGTCACTCATCATACCCGTGCTGGTATATGGCGCAGAAGCATGACGCAGACCGCAGACGATGGAACGATGAGCTGTATGAGCTTTACAACGACATGGACATAGTGCAGCGAATTAAAATACAGCGGCTCCGCTGGCTTGGTCATGTCGTTCGAATGGACACCGACGCTCTGAAAGTATTCAACTCGGAACCTGCTGGTAGTAGCAGAGGAAGAGGGAGGCCCCCACTGCGATGGAAAGATCAGGTGGAGAAGGAATTTGGTTCACTTTCCGTTTCCAATTGGCGTCAGTTGGCACAGAAGATAAACGACTGGCGTGCCTTGCTGAACTCGGCCAAAATCGCTTAAGGTGTTCTTACACGATATGTATTTGCATCTGTAAATTAGACTTTTTCAATACATATGTAATTGCGTATGTCTGTCAAATTCACAGTCTATTTAACTATTTAAAAATACGTTCTTTGAAAACGAAATAAATTAAACTCAGATATTTTATCTGTATATCAGATGAAAATAGAATCATTTCTATTCCGTATGTACTACGTGCATCAGCTCTGTATAGAAACAAATCTAATTTGCCTTTACACGATATGTTGACATTTCCATATGCAAAAAGTGGCATGTACACATGCAAATACATATCGTGTAAGAACACCTTTACTCGGTTGCAGCGCCAAAAAAGAAGAAGAGAAGACATATGCAGCGAAAAGTATATTAATTCCCTATACAATGATACTAATTTCGTAAAAAGCGGTTTACTACTTTGGAAAATAGGGGCATTTTAAAAATTTTAATTTTCCATCTTTCCTCCCCCTCTACCACCGATAAGCTTAGTATCCAGCTCTTAAGAAAAGCAAAAACTCCATATAAAATGACATACAAGAAATGGCTAAGAAATTTTCTTGAGTCAAATTTCCTTAAGGCAGTACGCAGTTCTTCAGAAATTTAGTACGCTTTCTACTACGGTTTTCTAAAGTTTTTTGTGAAAAAAGAGCACAAGGCAACCCAGGTTTGCAACAGAAATATATGCCCGTTCCATTATTTCTTGAGGAAAGAGTGAGGCAACAGGCTGTGTGTTATCAAAAATGTCAAAATTCCTTGGACACACACGCGAAATAATGGCAATTTTTTCTTGACCGTTTTCTTAAGAGCTGGATACTAAGCTATAACATTAATTGGCACAAGAAATGTTACATACCACTAAAATCAGGAAAAAAAATGGCAAATCACGCCCGCTATTCCGTTATTTCAGGGTTAAGGAGCCGCTATTCCGCACCTATACCTTATATTCGTCCATGATGCACTAATACAAGGTGGTGTCAGATGTGACAGCTCGATTTGACACTGCCTTAGCTCAGTAGAATAAGAAGAAAAACGGGAAGAAATTAATCCCCATTTGAGGGAAAGGTATAAAATTTCATATTTTCTTCTCAACAAAATTTGCTTTTTATACCCGAGCGCACTTGTGCACAAGAGTATATTAATTTTGTTCACATAACGGTTGTTTGTAACAGCCAAAACGAATCGGGACAGATATAGACAAATGTATACATAAATGATCAGAATGAAAAGAGAAATCTATTAAGCCATGTCTGTCTGTCCGTCTGTCCGTGTACACGATAACTCGAGCAAAAATTGAGATATCTAAACGAAATTTGGTATGTAGGTTTCCGTTAATCCAAGGTAGGTTGGTATTGAAAATGGGCGAAATCGGACTGTAACCACGCCTACTTCCCATATAACGGTAATTTCCAGAAATACGAAAACTGCGATATTTTAGGAACTACTGAAGATAATTCACTCAAAATGAATGTTTACGATAATTTTTAGACGAAAAATAAGAATATTATACATTTTTGGAAAATGGGCGTGGCACCGTCCACTTATATTCACATATATGTATATCGGTAACAGGTCTACCAATTTGTACCAAACTCGGTATTTTTATTGTGCTTGCCACATTAAAGCAAAACGTTGAAAATTATTGAAATCGGACTAAAATTACGGCCGCTTTTCATATAACGGTAAATTTCAGAAATGCTTGAAACTTCAATATTTCGAAATTNGTGCTTGCCACATAAAAGCAAAACGTTGAAAATTATTGAAATCGGACTAAAATTACGGCCGCTTTTCATATAACGGTAAATTTCAGAAATGCTTGAAACTGCGATATTTCGAAATTTAAAGACGCTAATTTGCTCAAAATTTATACACCCCGGCTTACCATGTAGCGATAGCCTTCGGAAAGGTGAAAAAACATTTATTTAATACTTGCGCCGGGTATTTAATGTTCGGCTCCGCCCTAACTTAGACTTTCTTACTTGTTTATAGTATATTCGTAATGAAATGAAGTAAAATAAAATAAAATACCTTTTTAAGAAAACAAAATGTGTATACTGAGAAAAAATAGAAAACAGTCAATTATATTATTAAGCAAGAATTGTTAAAGAAGTAACACTGTTTCACCTAAGGCAGAATATGGCGGAATTAGAGCGAGAAGCTGCCAACCAATAACACCTTGTATTATTGCATCTTGATATTAGGAATGTTCGATATCGTATCGATTATTCTGAATTTCGATATTTCATGGCACGATAATCGATTTTTTGAATCGATATTCCAAGGTCGATATATCGAAGACATCGATACTTTGTATGGGAAAATACTAAAGTAGGTTTAATCAGCAGCTTGTGTGATTTATTTAGCTCTTAAGTTTAATCCTCAGTAAATATACAAGTTGGAAATAACACAATTAGGTGAGTTGACGGGCAGGTCCGATATTATATTCAATTGGGAGCAGGATTTTCAACATCGATTTTTCCGATATCGATATTGTTCAGCCCGATATATCGCCATATCGATTTACCTTTTAACCTTTAACCTTTACCTTTTTACAATAGAATATACTTAGCAAATAGTAGCTCTGATCCAGTACTCCATGAACTTACAGGATTTTACACGAACTTGCAGGAAGTCGCAGGAAAAATGTTCCCGTACTCCAAAATCCTGCAAATGAGAGCGACTTTTGGAGAGTTGTGTAGAGAACGAAGTTGCAAGATTTTACCCGAACTTTTTCTTAATGAAAAGTGTCAAACAATCACTGGTTGACGTTTTTACAGGAAAAATGGTTTCTTGTTCCCGTACTTTTTGTGGTTACTCACTTTTTACTCTCACTTCAGAGAGTAATTTTGCTGTTTGACAGTTTTACAGGATTTGTCACGAAAAGTATTGGAACAGAGCTAGTATTGAATACCTACAGCTCAAACTGCGCAAACTTTGATTTTGCTTATATTTGGTTATACAAAATTGTGGCATCACCCATCATTTGACATTTGAGGAATATTTACAATCAGCAAGTCTCCACTTTCCGTCAGTGTTGTGTTGTTGCATTTTTCATACAGTTTAGTTCAATCCAGCGGTTGGGAGAAGACTTTTTACTTCGGTAAGTTTTGGTTACGTTGTCAATACAATTAAAAATTTGAACAAAATCGCCAATTGTACTTAATAATATTTAGAACAATACGGGTAATTTTTTTATGCTTACCCCTAAAACAAAAATAAGCAGTGACCTCTGAACTATTCGTAGGTTCTTTTTTCGGCATCGGGGGAAAAATATTTCGGGCGTTGAAAAGCAAAATAAATATGGCTATGATGATTGGAAAGCAACTCAACCGCTTGTCTGGACCATGCAAGATCGCTCCAGCGATGGTTAATCACTACTTCACCAGCACCAAAGAAATCACACATCCATTACAAAGGAAGCCAAATATTGTAAGTGAGGAGGAAGCAGTGGCCTGTATAAAATCGGGTAAGTCTCGTGCATATGAATTAAATATATTTATGTACATATCTGCAAATTCGGCAAATACGCATGTAGTATTTGGAACTTAAGTAGTTCGGGGTTTCGGGTGCCTACTGGAGCGACCGGTACTCTGGCCGATGACTGGATATTATGTAACTCAAACAATTGCTGACCCTTCTCGTGCAGGCATCAAAACTAGGACAGCAAAATGCTGTGAAAGCAAATATTTGTGTGCACATATACATATGTATGCTTTTACATACGTATATAGTATAGAGGAAAGGTCATCTTTTAAATAATGCACATTAAGTGGAAACGTAATTGAAAACAAAAAGAAAAAACGCCCGGTGAAATTACAATTTTTTAGAGCGCTGTATCTACATTTATAGATACATATCTATGTATGTATGTAACTATTTTGTGTAAGTTCATACCAACGAATACTAAAATTAGAAGCTCAGAAGAAGTAAGGCCAATTATCATACATATATTCCAGACGTATGCATTCATATACACATTCCTAAATAATGTCAGTTATCAGTGTCCATAACAACTCGCCTTTGGACTCCTTAGATTTCACAACTATATACATAGTACATGAAATCGTAATGCTACATGAAATCGTATGATTTAGTTTCTTTCCTCGAAAGCGTGTTTCAGCAATATGTCAAATAAGTCAAATTCTACAATTAAATTTGAATTAGAATCTAAGAGCTACTGACTATTGATGAAAATATGTTTTCTTTAATAGTTTCATTAATCCATTGTTTATAAATAATGTTCTCACAGCTTGACTACAGGCTAAATAATGCCAGTTATCAATGCCCATAACAATGCGCCCTTTGGACTCCTTAGATTTCACAGCTATGTGCCACATAAAGTCGTATGATCTAATTTTTTCCTCGAAAGCGTGTTTCAGCAATATGTCAAATAAGTCACATTCTACAATTAAATTTTAATTAAAATCTAAGCAACTGGCTATTGATGAAAATATGTTTGCTTTAATAGTTTCATTAATCCATTGTTTATTAATAATGTTATCAGTGCCTGACTACAAGCTAGATGGCACAATATGTATTCATTCACTCTTCGAATACATAATTCGGTACATAAATGTGTTTGTAGGGACAGTGACGAACAAAAGTATTGGCACAGTTAATTTTTCGCCATATATGCAAAGTTTTTTATTTTAATTTATTTTCGATAATTTTTTACAAAAATATAGTTCTTTTTACACCAGAAAACGTAATAATAAAATCTCTAAACTTTGTGCAAAACTCAGGAAAATTCTTTAAATTTGCACACTGATTTGCAACTTTTTATTCCGATTTTTAAAAAAAATTCAAAGTATGCAGTTTTATAGCCCATTCAAATTTAGTATAACAAAGTGTAAGTTTAAAGTTACTAGAAAATCGCGTTGATTTTTGGCAATTTTTTTAGTGGAAGGTGTTGCTCATTTTCTCCATACAAAAAATAATTGTCGAATTACTTTGTATGGAAGAACTTGCGTGAAAAAACATTACCAAAAATCAATGCGATTTTCTAGCGACTTCAAACTTTCACTTTCACTAAATTTGAATGGGCTATAAAACTGCATACTTAGAATGTTTCTAAAAAATCTGAATAAAAAGTTGCAAATTAGTGTGCAAATTTAATGAATTTTCCTGAGTTTTGCACAAAGTTTAGAGATTTTATTATTATGATTTCTGGTGTAAAATGAACAATATTTTTATAAAAAATGATCGAAAATAAATTAGAATAAAGAACTTTGCATATATTGCGAAAAATTCACTGTGCCAATACTTCTGTTCGGCACTGTATATGTAAAATGTTGTGTTTTGTTGTTTGACGATTGCTTTTTATTTGTCCGTGATAATTATGTTGCGATTTCATTATAATGCATACAATGTAGGGTAGAGGAAAGATGCGACTAATCGCTTACAACGATAAGGATAGTTTTGTAACTAGAACAAAAATAGTCAAGCTGCAAGCATTGTAATGCTAGGTAGGTGATTTGTAATTAAAATGGTTCAAGTGTAATGCTGGTAGGTTATATGTATCAGATCTTTGTTTTTGTTTTGTAATATAAAAGGGTGGTTTTACCTGTTTCTCAAAACACCGCACTACTGACAGCAACTGGATGCCTTCTGATGTCGCCTGAGCACCAGCTACACGACGAAGCGAAATTGCTACCGATCAAGGAGCATAATACAGTGCTCTGCAAGCAGTTCCTTATTGGGTGCTGCTTGCAGAAGAGCCCTCGCCCAGGCACGTCAGGAGGCATCGTTACGAACTGACGGACAGGCCCAGAAATGCATTCACAGGGTCCCGTCAGTCTCGAGTTATGTAGACTCCAGACCTGTAAATGCCGTTCTAGGCGCACAACAACCGGACATTGACGAGACGGAGCTTCATCTGCCTCTGGCTCTGGCTCAGCAGGTTAAACTCATACCTGAGCAGACTAAACGCCGATGTATCAAATGAGTGTCCGGCATGCGGAGAGACACCTCATGACTCGAAACATCTCTTTGTATGCCCGGAAAACCCAACAACCCTAACGCCTTTGTCCCCGTGGACCGACCCTATTGAGGCTGCACGCTTCGTTAGGGCTGCCGTTAGTGGAACTTGCCCACAGCGACTGAGATATTAACCGATATGGGCGGGGTTGTTGTAGCCGCTACAACAATAACCTGTTTCTCATGTGAAGAGCCACAAAAAGCATTTTTCACTTTTCGGAAACCCGTTTCAGAAATAAAAGATGCAAGGATTGGCGGGAACTGAAAGAGCGCAAATCGATTTCGAAGATATATTTCAACTTGATCGTGCTGCACTAGCAATTTTTATTTTTGTTGCAAGTGCTTTCAAACGATTCGAGTGGTGCTGGTTGACCCCGTACGACATTTTCAGTTTTTGTTTGCCACATCAAATCGCTACCACCGACCATTTTTAGGAAAAATAAATTGCAGATGGAACGGGTCCAAGCCCTGGTCAAGTAACATCGCAAAAAATATAGAAAAGGTTTTTTCTTAACAGCGGTCGTCCCTCGGCAGGCAATGGCAAACTTCCGAGTGTATTTCTGGCAGGAAAAACAGCTTCTCATAAAAATACAATCGCCGTTCGGAGTCGGCGTAAAACTGTAGGTCCCTCCCCTTTGTGTGACAACAACAAGGCGCACACCACAAATCGGAGGAGAAGCTCGGCCAAACACTAACATATGTGTAAGCGCCAATCTATTATTATTATTACTCTCTCTATATATAAAACAAAAGTTTGCCTAAAGCAATTTGCTAAGCAAACGTAAGTAAATGAATATTTGCTAAGTTATTTTAAACTTAAAAATCAACCAAATAAATTTCATTAGGTCCACTCAGTATTAAAAAATTGTTACGAATTCTTACTACTACTTGCAAGTTTTTACTAGAAATGCACTCAATAACCCAAAATATTTGCAAGATAGAGCGAATTCGAGAGCGTAACAACCCGAGAGAGCTGCAAATTCTTGCAAGTAAAAATTTTACTAGCATGAATTTGCACGAGTCAAAAAGTAAGGTTATGTTTCAAAATCAAATGTAAACAAACTGTTTAGGAGGATGATTTGATGAAACATAATTAGTGAAATGAAAATATGGATGAAAAACTTAAATCTATTTTATATTTTTTTTTTATTTTTATGACTATGGGAACTATTCCCAATTAAAAATAAAATTGCGCGCCAAAACTTAACCGTCGGTAAGTGTCAAAATGGCTTAAGTTGCAAATTTTTACTAGTTTTGTATTCAATAACTTTTCTGAACATTTTTTCTTGCTCTCAACTTTACTCTCTATTTTTCTTTTACATTTTCGCTGCAAGTGCTTACTGGAAAAGTTATTGAATGGACCTATGATTTTTATCAGCTGTTTTTCTTGCTAGCAAATAGGTGCGTTCGACAAGTCAAAAATTTTTAATAGTTTTCCAAATTTTTACTGGATGGCGTTCGATAACGACAAAAAATTATCCAACACACAAAAATTGAGAGAGCAAGCGTTCATTATGATGCAAGAGAAGCGTTCATTTTGTACTGGCAAACACAACACAAAAACATATGATCACAAAACATATGGTTGCAATTTTTGTAAACAAACAAAATTGCATTTTCCGAGTTTTGGTATTTATATGCTTTTTGGCTGCCTGCTATGTGAATTTATGATAGCGCCAACTAGTTTTTACTTCTAAAAATGTTCCTGGCGAACATTGAACGTTCACTTTCCTTTTTTCTTCTAAGGAGGCAACATGAATTTCAGTTTGTTTACAAATAAAACATAAACAAAGTCAGCTGGTGTGTCTTCTTCTTCCGGTTTTTGCAAGTAATGGCTAATTTCCTGTTCGTTTACTTTTTTGCTTTTTCATCTCTTTGGGAGAGAATTTTCGCTTACTCTCTTGATTTTGATTGTTGGCTGGTGTTGGCTAATTTTGTTATCGAACGCAACTAATGGCTGCTGGCAAAAATTTTTCCAGCAAGAATTGCAACTTCCGCTCAAAATCTTTTGTCACTTTGCGCTCTCAATTCCGATGACGATACGCGGTTTTGCACTTTAAACGACGATATGTTTTATTACGTGTACCTACATATTTTATTTTCCCATCTGGACTTCGCTTCTTCTTAAACACCTTTAAATACACACATACGTCAATACACCTATTTCAATGCGTATTTTAATTATAAAATGTATTTTATTTTAATTTATAATTACTCATAGTACTTATTTATTAAAAAATCAAACTTGCCAGTCATCGACGTTGTTGGCTTTTTTTATTTCGTTTATTTCAAAGATTAGAAAAATCATAAGACATAATAGGATGGCATACACGGTGCGTCTGACTCGCGAGTCATTTGTGTACGTGTTGACTCGCCTTCGACTTCCAGCAGTCATTTCGGTGTAACTAACACATATTTTTTTCACAAATACATCCAAACCGACTCACGAGTCAGACGCATTGTGTATGCCGCCTATGAAGACGTATTCTA